AACGATTTCCTCATTCAATTCTTTACGAACGATTGATCTATCTATCGAGCAATCAACTAAAGTGACCATGGAAATTATTGTAGTTATTTCTAGTATGATGATGGCTGGACATTCATCGCTGAAACAAGTGTTTCGATTTCAATTCCCGAATTCAATTTCAGAATAATCGTTCAAGATGATTTTAGTCAGCTCAGTTCTTTGCCACCCTATTCACTTTTTCAAGCTGTTTAAACGAAAATATGACAGTTACGAATATTTTTATCTTAAACTATTTCTACTGAGGAACGTTTTCTCCATCCCGAATAGCTCACCTAGCCATTGGAGATTTGTGCATTCGACTGATTAAAATTTCATGTAGTTGCACTCTTTCTCTGGCTAATGACAACGACTAGAGTGCTGAGTTTACAACACTTCTTCAGTAATTTTACTCTCACCTAGCTGGCCAGCCCCATTGCGAAAATGAAGAATTACCTCAATGCTGAGTGCATTGAAGCTAATGCAAGATTCATTCATCCAGTTGTTCATTATTCAGGCGTTATACTCTCAAAAAGCCTACGGTTTCACTTGCTGTGTCCCTCATTATGAGTTAGTCAGTCGTTTGTTTCAAACCCTTCAAGCGAGAAAATCATTCCATTGTGTGAAAGTCATCTGCTGCTTTTGTGAAACAATAACAACTAGCTATAATATTATAACCTTTGACCCTCGATCGCCTCCAACAAGAAAGAGAGTGGTATTCAGCTTTTGAATTGCTCACAAGTGATCAGGTGTTAATAAACACTTCCACAGTATGGATCTACAGAGAGGTTCATACAAACGGATTTGTAGTCAATGGGTTTTTTGTGGCCCCTTGTGATAATTTATAATATATATTTTTTGATTCAAACGTACTCTGTGCTCAATCCTAAAGAAATAGGAATGTTTAAGATGTACGCGTAAACAAGCAAATCACATCTGTTCAACCGCTTGATATTTAGCATCAATAAATCTGCACAGAAGAAATTTACTACAAACTTTACGTGACTCTCACTATAAGAATTCCGATTAGTATTTAGTTTTGTACCAAGCAATAAATTTGGTTCTTTTTTTTGCTGTACGCCAAGCAAATGTTGCTAAGAACGATCGCTTTTGAGTTCATCAATTTGAAGTTGTTTATCGCGTTTCTTTCAGCCTTCAGTCAGATTGCTTTATCCCTTCACACTTTACAGGTTTTGAAACGTCGTACAGTTGATGTGTTTCCTGAAAGATTTGCGATTTGTTGTGATATGTTGAATTTTCCCACAAATTATGACTTTTCGGATAGATTTTATAAGTTTCTTCGGATGAAATGTATAATTTTGGAGGAAACTGTGAAATTATCTCGTAAATTATCCATGTTAGAAGATTTGAAGTTCACGTTTTTAGCGTTTAGTATCAACATCTTATCAGTTTATGATTTGCGATTTTCCATTGCCGTTCGCAGTTTTCCAACAGGCTCAATGTTGATCCGTCCGAATTGTGAATCATTCCGCTATTCCAGGTCCCATCTACCATGGGAACCGTCTCCTATTGGGCCTGTGGATTACTGATTCTGGGCATCTTAACCAATCTTATTCGAAGTGATGATCCGTCAGAATCGACTTCTGAACAATCCATCAGCAATCAGAAACCTCCTTCGTTGATCGTTGTGACAGTAGCCACTGATCAAACCGATGGTTTTTTAAGACTTCAAAGATCTGCTGAGCAGTTCGATCTGAAACTCAATGTGTTTGGTCTTGGGCAACAATGGAATGGTGGTGATACGCGTTATTATCAGGTAACAGGAGCTGAGCTTGCACTGATGAAAGTTCAGAAGTCATAGTTGATTACAAAGCACAGAAATCAAAGTCCGATCAATCGATTAAACAATGTCCCACCGAAACTTTATCGCATTTGCATTTAAATCAGCGAGCGATTCATCGCTCGCGCATGAAACTAGTAAAGTCCAATCGATCCTCAAGATGATGAAAGAGCCGACTGGATTCTTAATCAATTCAAGCCTACATTCATCTTCCCATAAATGAATTTCATGATAAATATGAAATGAAATGTTTTCATTGAAGTTATTCGGAATTGTTCAGGGTGGTGGTCAGAAAATTAAAATTCTGCGTGAATCACTGGAAGAATACAAGGATCGAGAAGATGTCATTGTGTTGTTCGTCGATGCGTGAGTGATTCCGTCTTTTTTCTGTTGACAATTAATATTGACGCCTTTTGGGATCGTATCGAGCCTTTTCTGCTCAGAAAGCAAGCAACAATCTCTTTAGAAAACTGATTCTATTGATGCTAGACAATACAAAAATCTTTAGCTGTGAGGAAATCGCTAGGAAAAGACAACTGTTTCATTATTTAGCAATTAGATGAAATTTGAAAGTGAAGCAAAGTGTTATTGGGAATTTTCATCTTAAGATATGATGTTGTATTCAATGCTGGAGAGGAGGAAATCTTGGCAAAATTCGACGAGATTTACTACAAGTACCGAGTCGTTTTCTCGGCTGAACCTTTCTGCTGGCCACGAAAGGAACTCGCACCTGAATATCCTACCGTACAATTCGGCAAAAGGTATTTTTCAAAATTTGTTCTTTTTTCATTGCATATGCTAGTGAATTTCCTCGTTTCTGTGATTGGTTGAGTTCGTTTGGTGGTATTGAAACTTGTTCTAAACTTTTAAACTATTCAGATTCCTAAATTCTGGCCTATTTATGGGCTATGCGCCTGAGATATGGCGTATCATTAACGAGTATCCAGTAGCGGATGAGGACGATGATCAGTTGTACTATACGAACATTTATCTCGACGAAAAGCTGCGAGTGAGTGCCGATTGTTCTTGAAACTCGACCTTAGAGTTGGGCGCAAATGACTGGCTTTTTATTTCTCCAAACGAGACCTCCAGTACCATTCATATGTTTTTCTGTGATGTTTACACATAAATTTTGAAATTTCTCTCCTTTGATTATACTTAAAGCCATCCTCATTGTGTATAATTAACATAGGGTAATCTTTCAGAATGATCTGAAGATAACATTGGATTCGATGTCATTTATATTCCAAAATTTGAACGGAATTAAGGATGATGTTGCGATCGAATTTAATGATAATGGTGATGCGCAAGTGAGTGTATCCGATTGAAGGAGTTTAACGTGTTTCTCAATTTAAGATTATTTTGAAGGATTTGAAACAAATTTGGCATTGCACTGATCAAAATCTTCTCAATAAAATGTTCTCACTCCACATATTTCTTTGCATAATTTCAGATCTCAAATGTGCCCTACAATACACATCCGT